AGTACAATTTTCCAGAGAACCGGGATGGCTAGAAGGCACGTTAAATGGCAAGAGAGGACTTATTCCACAAAATTATGTCCAGTTTTTATAGCTTCGTGCATTGAACGCCAAGAAGGTGTACATGGTATCCATGGATTTTTGTTATAGTCACTTCTCTCTACTTTTGTGACTGCTTTTAATCAATGAAGAGCCTGACTATGGGTTGAAGATCCTAATCTGTATAAAGACATTAAGTGTTGCCAAATATGAATTACAAAAAAAGATTCTTTAAGGGTTGGAATGGATGGGGGGACAAAAATGGGGGATGGAGGGATAGGTTAATTTTTTAATAGGGTGCTTTTTTTCAATCGTAAAGAGCAGTAGTATGTTTGTTTGCAAGATAACTAGCATCTGTAAGTCAAATATTTGGTTGATCTGTGACTCAACTATCAGTTGAACAAGATTTTTAAGTTTATAGTGTCCTGGAGATTATGCATTGATAACCAGCATTTTTAGCAGAATATTATTTGGGTTTGGAAAATACCGTTGGATTAAAAAAAAAGCTATCGTGCTGACAAATTATACTTCAACAAGGAATAGACAGTACGGAACACACAGTAAGTAAAATAGTAGGTATCAAGACATGACATTTTTCAAATGTCTTCAAAGAACACATTTGTTTATGTTGTGTGTATGATTTCATTTATTTTATAAAGATAAGACACATGAACTTTTATTACAGGCTCCTGTATGTCATGGTTCCTTTGCTACTCAAAAATATCACTGTAAATGAAATAAAATGTCATTCTTATGTTGGAGAATACTTCACTCTGGTTCTCTAAGTTATGACGTGAAATAATTATTGGCAGCTGTATGCAGTCAGCCTCAAGCAGGCTCCAAAATGGATGGGGAATGAACTTTCCTCACTTAAAACAGGCAACTCTGCAAGATCAAGCCAAAAGGAAAAGAGAATCTCTGGTGATGAGCCTTGTCCATCCTGGAGGCATCTTGAATTTTATCTGTTGTCTTGCTCCTCCTGAGCTTCCCTTTCTTCCTCCTCTGTAATTGTGAATTCTAAGGTGTTAATGATACTTCACGCTATCAGAATCCTCAAGTAGCTGCCTCGTAACTTGTAGAACTATCTGAGTAGCAAGAGAGTTATCCGTGGTCATGGAAAAAGCTTCCAGAAATCTTGTGGTGTATAAATCTGTGCCTTGTGATTTAAAAAAAAAAAACAAACCACCAAACAAACCTTATGTGCAGTTTATCATTAATCTCTGTATTTTTCCCTCTTTCAAGTAAGACCCCCTGGGGGTCTTACTATCCTGGAGAGGATGCAGGAAAATATGACGGGATGACGCGCTAATACAGGCTCGCTTATTTGTTAAATTGGACTCTGTGGATTTTGAGTCATTTACTGCAGATACACTTAGCTTGCAAGTTTTTCTAACTAATATGATTAGTAAACCAGTTAATGGTTAGTGCTGCCTTAAGGTTGGGATGGGTTTCTTCCCCCTTAAGATTTAACTCCATACCATAATTTTGTTCCTTTGCCCAGACTGCATAGACCATTGGAGCACGCACAAATCACTCCCAGATGGAGCAATGGTGGGCCAAGTCAGCACAGCTCTCCAGCACGAAGCCTCATAGCTTGGAGGAGTTTCATTTGGTGTATTCTCATGGTATTTGAGCAGCGACTCTCTGCCATACAGCTTTTAGGCAATTCCTGTCTTGGCACAGTGGCTAAGGGACCCGAGCACTGAAGATGACTTTTGGACTTCTGCGAAGGAGATCGAGTTCTTCAGTTTGCTCCTTGACTCAGTATTAAGGAAACAGTTGCACCAGTACACGCAGCAACAGACTGCAGGTTTCCTTACTCGGATTAGTTTGCGTGGCAAAGCACTGTCCTGGCTGGGTATCATGTGTCGCCTGGGCCCCCAGCTCTGTCAACTCACTTGTGGCCTTACAGAGTCATTCTGGAGGCAGGATGGTGGCTCTGTGGCCAGACCTGGGTTTCGGGGCTACTAGCTGGTGGAAAATGTTGAAAGAAGAGGGAGAATGTAGAGCCTTTGGTGTGAGCCTGGCAGGCGTGGCAGCTCGGTATGCTGGCTTGTCAGATAGCGAAGCTGTGATAACGTGAAGCTTACAAGCTTTGCAAGTCGGTTCCATTTGTTTCGTTGTTGTTTCAGATGTGCAGTGCATGTTTGATCCTGTTCTGGCTGCTGGCGTCCAAAATTCTCAATGTGTTTCTCAGCTCTGGCTCTGTGGTTTGGTTGTTTTGCCTTTTAGCTGAGGTGGTTTAAAAAGGCAGATGTATAGAGAAGGAATAAAGACTTAGTGTCTCTTCCATCCAGTCTTGTGACCCTGTTTGCATTTCGATGAGCTCTTTTGCGACTCCTGCTACTTTCTGGAGCCATGCAGAACCCAAACAAGAAGAAAACTTTTCTACTGAGAAATGATACACCGAGCAGAGGTAATGCTAATCCAAACTTTCTCACGTCCTAGACGTTGTCTAAAGGCGGTGGTGTGAGCTGAGCCAGATCAGATCTGGCTTTCAGGCTCACCACACTGCCTCTTAGGAATTTAGCTGTGGTAACCACTACCCACTACACGGGTTTCCACATCAGTGCGGTTGTACTAAGGCCAAGTACGGACTTGTACAGCCCAGTAGCCATGGCATGTCTCATTTTTCATCCTCGCTGCTGAACAGCGTTGTAAACGATGCCCTTGTACTGACTGCTTGGAAGTAGAAATTAAAGGATGCTCAAAATTAAAAATCTATAAGGTCAGGCCCCTTTTCCATCCTTTGAGATTGTTTTCTTTCCTGAAGCTGGGCCTTAGGACATGCCTCTTGTCTGTCTTTTCCATGGCTTGGTAGATTTGGGAAGAGCAGAGTAGCGCACGGTTAGCTTGAGGCAGGAAGGAGGACAGGGAAGCAACTGTGGAAACAGCTGGTTGAAGAGATCTTCTCTTTTGGCCTGGCAGCAGGAGTGGTGATTCTCTGTGGGTCTGGCCTGACTCGGTCTTCTCACAAGGAACTTCTCTCGTGTCACAGCTGCGGGTACAAGTTCAGCTTAATCCTCAGGTTGGGTCCCCCCTCCCTTGCTGTGTGCTGGTTACTGTGTGCAGGGACAGGTACCTGTCAGTTTTCAAAAGCTGAGACTTCTGGTAGGGAATGCATGACATGGGCTAAATATTAGAGATGTGAATTAGGAAAAAAACCCCCACATTTTGTGCTCTTTATGCAAAATTACATTTGCCTTGCCATCACTGTGGAGTGAGACTGAATCCCTCAGTCTGGGGATTAAGGTCGAATGTGTGTTTGCCGAATAATTAATGCAAAACCCGAGACTCCTGACTAGCTGAGATCAGTAGGAATTTGCAGTCTGTGTTAGTCAGGGGACGGTGCGCAGCTCTGCATCTTGGCCGGGCAGTGTTTTACTCTGCTGGGTGACAAACCCCCGGGGTTTTCAGGCTGCTGAACGTTGCTCATCATTGTCCCAGCTGATCTTCATGGCAGGTTTCCCTCTGATACCCAGGCGTTCTTCAGGAGTGAAAGAAAACTCTCACTGGCTGATTTACCTGACCTGTAATGAAAATAAGTGTTCCCGCTATGTTGCTTACAGTTTTGGCTTGCTGAGCTGCCGGAATTGTATCACAGAAAAGACTCCAGGAGAAACGTGCTTATTCCTCAATGCTCTGTTCCTTGTTCTCTCTCTTAAACCATTTCACAATTCTTACCTGGTTTGCAATTTCAAAGAGAAATGTTGCTGACAGAGGGCTTACGTACGCAGGCTGTAAATGCACCAGTGCTAAACGTGGCTTAACTGAAAGTCTTCGCTGGAGGTTCCCCTTTGGAGCTGAACATGCCTTGGACATCATCCCCTACGTCGGAGTTCAACAGCGTGCCCTCAGCTCTGCTTGCAGTTAACCCCAGGTAAGCACCAAATAAACCTCATCCTATTGACAGCTACAGTTAAGGTGTTTGTTTAAAAACTTTGTGGCATGGAGTGTTTTACCTACCACATCTTTGAAATCAAGGGCCTTTTTTTTTACTCCTTTCTATCGTAATAATGTTGTGCTCATCATTCATCATAAACTCCCAGTCTCTGGGGACACCTGAAGGAAAGCAGTGTCCCAGCTTGAGGTCAGATTACACATTTTGTTATGTTTTTAAGTGTAGCAATAGCATTTTCTTATTTCTAGAACAGCATATGACACATACATCTGCTTCTAAGCATATGGGAAATTTTTAACACTGCTGATCCTGTGTTATTCTTTCCTTCTGACAATTCAGCAAACAGAAGGCAGGTGCGAGGATTTTTGGCAATAAAAGGTTGTGTAGCTTGCTATTAAAACCAACAAAAGGGTGGTCTGATACCACAGAGCTAGCTTCAGGCAGAACGTTGTGGTGAATTTTTGAGGTAGATGGTGCACAGAACAAACCAGGACAGCAGGAGTTTTATTTCCCCTTCTAACTACCTTACTATAATTATAACTAACTGGAACAGACCTGACGCTGAGAAGGCAGTTTGGTTTTACTCACGGGGGAAGCCGTGTGTCTAGGAAACAGTGAATCCCTGTTTCCGTGAGAGAAATTCTAACTTTGGTCAAGGGGTACAGCAGCTCTGGGTTAACTGAGACTGGGAGCTGGACTTGCCTGGCCATGGAAGGCTGCTGCATTCGATACTTTGAGCAGGATGCAGCTCATGTGTGTGATGGTGTCGGTGCGTTGTTTGGCACGTGCAGTGAGCCAGGTTAAGGGAACCAAATTCCTCACGGTCCAGCATTCCTGATTCTACAGCGTGAGCAGCTGCTCTCTGGCTGAAGCCATGGCATGTGCTGTGTCACCCAAGCTAAGAGAGCTTCATGAAACCAAATTTCTAGATGTATGAAGAAAGGTCTTCTATTCCATCATTAGTGACTTTATGTTACTTGACATAATTTCTAGATAAGCAGAAGTGTGTCTCTAAGGGTGTCACTGCACCAGCACCTCACTGAGATTAAAGTGCAAGAAATACTTGCAATCAAACCAGTTTAATTCATGTATATTTGTACAATTTGTATAAAAAAAGAAAAAATAGGTACTTGCAGACATTAACATAAAGACCAAACAATATTTTCTATTTATTTAAAAAGCTTTAAACATACAGAAGCAAACCCCTAATTATAAATGCATCATTATGCATAGATTTTACTGTTTACACCATACTGCTGGCTGCTTTTATTTTTCATCCAGGAATCTATTTAAACTCCAAGAATTCTTAAACATTCCTCTGAGCTTCCTGGCCTCAGAACTGCTGTCTATCTTATCAAGTCATTGACCTCCAGCTGAAAACATTGCTCTAAAAAAAGAAAAAGTCAAATCTTTAATAAACAATTAAAAGTGCATTAACTGTAGAATTGTTTAATTTCATAAATGTTTAAACAAGTCAGTGAAAAACACCACCCTGTGAATTAGCTTCTTGCATTATTGATTGTAAAGTCTCTTTTTAATAAGATTTTGATATTGCAGACTTTAGTCTTTTCTATTTTATGCTGCACAACTGTGCGGTCGCACCACGTGTAGTATTCCTGAAATACCCACTGCAGTACATGAACACTATTTTACATTTTTAACTGTGTATACAATGCTCTTGCTGTATATCCCCGTTCCTTCTTACAACAAAATGATGTACTTCTAAAAGGTGTTTTAGTTTGTCTTGTATTTTGCAGGAGACAAATGCCTATTTCATTCTAAACAAATTCAAAAGAACGTCGCTTCCCAGTAGCTAAAAACTAGGGTTGCTGGTTGTTTTATTTTTTCTGCTGTACACAGGTTTAGGTAAAAAAAAGTGATGGCTATTCTGCTTAAGTGTCCTTGGTAAGAGAATACTGCCCCTTACAACATCTATATCCAATTGTATCTATTACCTCGATGATCTCTAGCGAAAAAATCATCATCAATGAATGGTTTCATAAACAACAGGTGATTAAAGTAAAGGATTTATTATAATCTGCTTACAGTCGTTTGCAAAGACAGACATACGTTTTTGCATAAAGATATAAATTGCTTTTTAAAACTAATTTAGTGTGTTTAATTATATGAAGTTTCTGTGAACTATGAATTGTACCAAACCAAGATTAAAAGTAATAAGGTACAAAAGTAGGAGCAAACAGACAACAATTTGGACTGGGACAGGCATTTAACAGTGAAGTGTAGAATATGGCTTTGCTATTTTAATCAAGCAAAGTTACTCTGAGACAGAAAAGGAGGCAGTAACTTTGTTAATATAAAAAGCTGCTGCAGACTGTATTCACCCAGAACCTGGCTTGGAAATTTTCTATTTTAGACTTTAAAAAAAAAAAGTAAATGAAAAGATGGATGTATGACTGTGTCTTTACTGTAAACAACCAGTCTGCATGCTGTGTATCTCATGTTGGAAGTTTGGCTTTCATATTGCTGTGCAGGTCAGTATTTAAAGATCTGCCTATGAATTAGACTTCCAAAATGCAAATAATACATGTATGTATATATTTATATATAAAACACCTCTCTGAATACAGTCGTTACAGATTACCCATTGCATAAGGCAGGTGTCATTTAAAAAGACAAGTAGCACTGACTGGCTTCAGTGCACCAAAGCGCACCTCAAAATCTGGACTCCGAAAGGGCGTAGAATGCTGAATTCAACCACCGTTGAGAAGAAATGCTACATTCTGACCGGCCAAGGGACAAACTAGAGCTCAAAACGCCAGTGGCACCCAGAGAGAACACTATAGATCAATCAGGACTCTGAAAAACTATTCTATTGAAATGTGAGCATATGGTAGCAACAGTTGAGCCCCAGAAAAGTTCACCTGTCCTCTATTCTACTCCAAAATTTTGTTTTTGCTTATAAATTGTGAAATAGCAAAAAAATCACCTCAAAAATTTCTTTGCAGTCTTATTCTAGAGAAAACATTTTTGAGACAAAATCAGACCAACTGAGTTGAACTTGTAGTGTGAACATTTCTCTTCTCAGATGTATTCTGATTATTAAAAAATGCTTACAAAATTACATACGGTTTTAGTTTATCACTGAAAATTCTTCTCAGCTAATCTGCCCTCACCAGTACCTGACCACCCCTCTCACCAGTACAAATCTGTTCAATATACTTACTGTAATGATCTGCATGTTCCTCCCTTCATCATAATCAGAAATCGCTCTCCCCCATCTGAAATAATAATCTGAGCTTTTAAGATGTTTTACGTATCCAGTATTCAAAGGAAAAACAAACAATCTGGGAGACCTTAACGAAAAAAGAAAAATCACTCAACATCTTATTGGCCCCTGTTCCCCTGAGAGAGAAAGGGAACAGAGGGCAAGAACTCGCTGTTATCGTTAAGCTGGCAAAAGCTTTGGAGAGACCGTGATTTGTCTTGTTAAATGAAACCTTCGTGAAGTGGCAAACGCAACATCGTGTAGTTTCCTACAGAAACAGGAAGCAGGATTTCTAAGGTGTGCTCTAGTCACATACGCTTGCAAGCGAGACAAGAGGGAGGAAAATATAGAGGAGAGGAGAAGAGAAAGGCTTAAATACAACTGAAAAGGTTAAGTGTGGTTATTTACAACAGATACTGTAGGATGGTAAATTAGATATGATGCTAAAAAAGGCACAGCTTTCCCTTTCTTAAATACACTGTAAACGGTTCATTACGCATGCAGAACATTTCACTTTACAAAAAAATTACCTTGTTTGTTTAGACAAAGATAGTACTTAAATAGTCTCCAGCAAAATAGAGTTCTTTCAAAAATACTTTCCCGTTCATCCTATTAACCATTAAAGATTTTTTTTTTTGTCTCATTTACAAAAGTTCCTTACACCTTATTTCAGGTCCTTCACAATTTATACATACAGCAATGTACAGTACAGCAAAAGACTGCAAAAAATTATTTGTAAAGCCAGCACAATAGATACTATAAATTGATACCAGGGCATTTGTTTTCACATCTTATCCTTTTGAATTAAATAGTAAATGGACACTTAACACAGTGTATAGCATCTATGACAGGATAACATGGGATAACAAATGCCACAGGTGGGGATAACAGAGTATTCCACACCAAATGTTCTGTTATTACTTTACACGTTAGGGTTTGTGTGTGTGTGTGTATATATGTGTGTATATATATATAGTTTTTGTTTGGTTGGTTTTTTTTTTGTTTTGTTTTTTTGTGGTTTTTTTTTTACAAGAAAAGAATATTAATGCCCCATATTGACTTTACGTTTTATGTGCAAACCAAGGGTAAGCTTTAAAAAGTTCTCATTAGTTCTCGAACCCTTTTAAAACAAGCAAACAATACCAGAAACTACATGGCATATTTAAAACTCCATCTGTTAAAATATCAAAATCAAAGAGTTATTGACTAGATATGGCTTTTCATCCAGAGGAACAGGAACATTTTCTAAGTGTTTTAGGGTTACGGGGTAATTTCCCAACATCTAGGTCTTGCCAAATCCCAGCCAACTGCTTTCCATTCCCCAAACCCTTCATATGATTTTAGACTATTCAGAGACTGCTGAACAAGTGTAAATAGCATGTTTAAAATATGGTTTCTTGGGTCCTTCATGGGTGTGGAATAACACAGGGAAACTTAAGGCAAAGTTCTTCCATTTAAGACATTTTCTATCACTTCCTGTGAAAGTACAGGGGCTTGGCATTCCCAGATTCCACCTTTGGTAGCTGGTCACTGATGATTTCCACCAGCATGGCTGGAAACTCTACTTTCAGTGCCTGAGACTCTCGGAAGGTGTAGAAACAGAATTCCAATAAGTCACTAACAAGCTGAAATACAGAAAGAAACACTTTTTAGGAAAAACCACAGAGAATTTCACATGCAAACAACAGCTTATTGATAATGGATCATTACCAAGAAATGGCATCTTACTCTGACTTGGCAGTCCCTTTGCAGGGGTCCAAAAGCAAACAAAAGAACTCAAATCCCAAAGTGCTACTTAACTTGTTAAAAATCAGCGAACTAGGAAAAACCAAGACACCTCTGGCTTCATTTTTCAGCATAACTGCGCTTTTTGTTTCACTAACAGGCAACTGGCCACCTATAGATACTCAATGGCTACGAAAATAAAGCCTCCTGCCCAGAGGGAAATGATCAGCCATAAACTGTTGTATCTCTAAATTTTAGCTGGATACACATTTGTTAAATCAGATTATCTGGTCAACTTCCGTGCACTCTCCAGAGGTCACAACCTCCAACTGCCGGAGCAGCTGACGTTTTTAGCTCAACGACGGGAATGCTGCGTCACGCTGTAGCATTTCGGGTTTTACAGCATCATGGTCCATATGAAATTGTTCATCTGGTAAAGCATCTCTATTTATAAAAAAATGCATTTTTATAAATAAATGCATTTTTGAATACGCACACCCCAAGTTGCTTTCCTGCTTACTGCTCAGTGAGCTACAGAGGCAGCATTTAGGCAAGTATTTCTTTTTGAAAATAGCCCCAAGTTCTCTATTTTTGTAGCGGTGGCTAACAGCATGCTTCTGCTTTCTCTCAGTGGATTAAGCATAACATTGAGAATTTTAAAGATTAAAAATGTCTAATTAGCTCTTCAATGACCAAGAAGGAAGCTTTGTTCTGTAACACCACAAGGACCCAGTTATCTGTTAGCACAGGACCACCTCTGCCAGCAGAACAAAGCCACACCTTCCGCTGGCCCATGGAGCTCCTTTGGCTTCCTCTGGGTGGCAAAGGGTTTCACAGGTGAAACCGGATCACGGTTTTCCCAAATGGCAGCTGACAGCCATTTTGTAATCCTCATAAATCTGGCTGCAACAGGAATGCCAGCTGAAGTACTAAATGGCATACAGGTACCATGAGCTTTTTGGTGTGTGGAAAAACACACCGCGTGTCTTCAAAGCACCAATAAAGTCTGACATCTTCTACCTTGTCTCAAGTTGTAGTGTTCTCGTTTGTCAGTTACAGAGCTTCGTTTTGGTCTACGTGTTACAGGAAACTTCATCATGCTACAAGAATAAACATTAATTTTGGCTTTTAAGGGTTTCGATTTGTTTGTCCCTTGTTTGTGCTATTTTCTCCACACAAAATGGCAAACTGCAGCTTATCTTTGCTATAGAACACCACGCTGTTAGAGCGAGAGAACTGGGAAGACAAGACCACCTCTTCCAGTGTCACTGCTCGGGGAATGCTTCTATTTTAACCATAAAAACACGGCAATGTGATCTCACGGCTCAGCCTCCACGCACACTGGCTTTTGCTGGGTTAGTTTTACATAGTACTTCTACACAGTCAAGGAAGACTTCCTCATGACCCTTAGTAGCAAGAGAATGTTGTTTCAAAACTAGTTTTTTTTGGTTGCTGTGATCTAAAGGAACCTCCTAAAGCCTTACAGTATGTTAGACCCTTTGCAGTCTTTAAGAAAAACACAAGGCAAGTCTGAAGTGCATCCAGGTTTCAGTTAGCGTGTCCATTTCCAGTGCAGTTCACCAAATTTATTGCCTTGTCTGACTGGTGGGAAACTACAGCTTCTGCTGCCGAACAATTCAAAAGTTACGCACAGCTTAATTTTGGTGCCTTATGTCCTTGCAAAGGACTTCATGCACTTCTGCTTGTGTCATTTATCAAGCAGAAGTTTGGCATTTCAACTCTTAACATGTAGAGTTGCCGTCTGAGGTTAAACCCCCTTGATAAAGGCAGAGGGAATAAAAGCGGAGTCCTGGAAGGCAGAAAAGGAAATAAAAAAAATAAAATAAATACAGGCAGCAGAAGACTGCTGTCCTGCAGAACCATACCTTGCTACTTAATTCTCAGAACTTTCACAGCTGTTCTCACAGACACATAAGCAATTTATGGACAGAGGAGTGCTGAGATCACTCAAACACCTGACTTTCTGCTTTTGTGCACCACACAAGTCTGCTGTTGCTTAGTTCATTCCCAATGATCTGGCATGTCATCAGGCAACGCTAATTAATTAAACAGCTGCATGCAAAATAAGTAGCATAGACATAATTTAGTGTTCAAGGGGAAAAAATGCTGATGTTCAAAGGTTTACTTCACCCGTTAGGAGGAGGTGGTTTCTGCATCTACTGTGTGCCAAAACCATTCCAAACATAACACAAAACCAAACAAAGTGAAGGAAACTGTCTCTTGCTACAGTCACCACTACCTCCTCCCTGCCTGTGTCGCCAAACACCAGCACGGCTAACCAAGCCGTGCACCCCAACACAACCTTGGGAATGACCTGATGGACGTAATGCTCTTCCTAAACTTGAACACGAGCAGTTTGACATCACTGAATGTGCGGGAGGGGGCTGGGGTCATCGCTGTCACGCTGCCACCCGTCCTCGCTGTGCCGATGGCTCGCCTTCTCTGCGACTCACGCCAATTCCTGCCCCATCACACACGTGTGAATTCTCCGACTGCAGTGAGAGCGGTATCACAGAAAAGCCTGTGTGAAAGCTACTAACTCTGCTGCCTTAGCAAGCTTTTAGGAGTATCAAGTACATATGGATGTCTGGTGAGTATGTGGACAAAAGGGAAAATGAAAAATAACAACATCCATGAAGACACCATAATCTGTTCTATACAATAAATGAGCTGGCAGTCCAGCGGGGGAAAAACAGGATGTGATCATGGATACTATCCTAACAGAGAACATTGTGAGTCTCATCACAGAGGAGAAACGTTAAGTTTACACAGCAATTTAAAAGAAAATACCTAGAACCCCCATCAAGTAATACTTGGGTTTGGAGCCTTAAGGATAATATTCTATACCTGTTTAGTCTCCTAACACTTTTGTTCCTGTCTTTTTTAAGTTATCCACTTCAACATACTTGACAATAATCAACCACTTCAAACTAGGAGCATTAGGAAGCACACTGCGTGGCACAAGGAACACGGGGCTGCGCTCAGGATCTTTTTTACTGCAACCTGAAAAGCTGCGTGGCTTTTGGGGCTGGGGAAGTACTTCTAGCACTAATTTGAAACGAAGAGGAACAAACATGGGTGAATCGAAGGCCAAATCAGAAGCACTACAGTGTAAACAATACGATAAGGTAATCTGGAGAAGGCTGCAAGACAGAGAACTGAGCCATGAGCCGTGCTCGCTCTTCTCTGCGGGCGTCTGCTCATACCTTTTCAAACGTGCCATCGCCCCCCACCAGCCCAGCAGCCTTGGCATGAAGAGGGGCTGAAGGGATGAAAAATTCAAGTTCCACAGGCAACTTTCATTTTGAAATTTGAGTACTTGCCTCCACATCCCAAGCAACATTCATCTGGTCTAGTTTTGATTTGTAACAGGTAAATAATTTAGTCGGTCTTTTGCTTTAAAAGAGAAGTTCCCTCTTCCATAAGGAAATGGAAAAGTTTGCTTTCTTTCATAACACACCATCTCTGTCATTGCTGTGACAGCGACTGATGCACCACAGGGCACGAGTGCAGTAACGTACGCTATCCAGCACCTCTAAATTTGCCTAATGAATTTTCTAGATCAAATAATATACTTCTGACTGTTCTTCAAAGGCTTGTAAAATCCTTGTGCTCTAAGAACTCCTAAGCCACAACTAAAATAAATTCCCATATCGTTGGGATGCAACCAGGACATTGTTCTTACCACTTCAGCAGGTGGCTGGTCAGCTCTCTCTGGAGCAGGCAATAAGACATGGCTCGGTACCTTTGGCGACAATGCCAGACTCCTTTGGCACGCAAGGGAATCGGGCCACTGCCGGGGGACAGGAGCTCGGTACCACGCACTCCCAGCTTTGCCCTCTGGGTCCTGGGTATCTCCCAGAACGGAGACTCCAGCCTCTCCAGGCTGGCAAATACCACTACTCCAGCCTGTCGAGGTCCCTCTGGATGGCCAGAGATGGATGCAGACACACAGGTCAGAATTACCACATCCGTCTCACCCAGACTGCTGTAGACACGACAGCTCCTCTGCCAGCAAGTGAATCGGCTGGTAGCTGTAACCCTTCACCTCTGCGGTCATTCATTAGGAAGCGTTCTCTCATCACTACCCTACGGTGTGCCGTGCTTAAACATCTTCGAGGCTACAGCAGTCTTAGTAATTCCCAGATTTTTACTTCATCAGTCTTCGCATTCGTATGCTGCATTAAGCACCTCTGAGAAATAGGAGTATTAATCAAACATCATTTTCTGTTATTAGGGTGGAGTTTCCACAAAATGGACTTTTTCACCCATACTGTTCTTCATAATTAAAAAAATGGATCCTTTAATGAAGTCCCTGAAGTTAATACAGTTCCAGTGACCTTTGAGCACTTGCGGAATTTTTACAGAAAGAAGAACTGATTTTAGTTTGGCAACCTCACTGTGCCCTTGTATTCCCAGAAACGGTAAGAACTCTCTCATTTGCAGGGGTGCATGTTTCTGTGCTCAGTTAGTTTTCTGACTTCAAAATCTGTCATGATCTCCAAGAGTGGTATGAAAGCCCAGTCACTTCTCTATCAGGAGCATCTCTGTGATTAAGCTCACTGATACAGCAGTTAAGACAGGAGTAGGGTAACAACACAATGCTGAGTCATTTCCTCCTATTACTAGCTACAGCTATTACTGTCAGAAATCCCAGCGTTCTCATATAACAAGGAAACTCCAAACGCTTGCTCTGTCCCCTTCAGGAATGGGTCTCTGCCCGTTTCCTACAGAGCACGGAGCAGGTGGGTGTTGGGAGAAGGCAACCCTGCAGCTCTACGCAATGCAAGCGCGCAGCCCTGGTGCCCACCTGCGCCAAGCCAGGCTCCCTGGCAGGACAAGCTGCTGCCCATCACCTGAGCAGCTGCGTTTTGCCTCTTGCTTTCAAAACTTCTGTGTTTCCAACTGCACAGGAGTTGGGACCCGTCAAGGCTCTGACACCACCTCTGCGGTGCATTCACCTCACACTAGCAAGGAGTAAAAGGTGGACAAAACACGTATGTATTGGGCACTAACGGTACCTGACCAGAACAAATGTGGAACCGAGTTCTGCCTGGACAGGTGCGTTTATCTGACTTGGGAACTGCACTCGTTTCTCTGGGTTTTCTTCAAACATGTGCACACAGAAACCACAGCACTTGACACGGCACGGAGGAAGGAACCTGTGTTGAACTCATTCTCTATGCTTGGAGGACGCACGCAAACCCACAGTATCACACACCAGTGAAGCATCCTCAGCCCTTGGCCAGGGTAAATTTTGAGCCAACTCTCCCCCACTCTTCTGTCGACAGTAGCGGGGTTCTGTCCTCCTCCAAAAAACACCTATTAATGTGAAGGAGAGGAGATCCAATCATCACAAACTGAGCAAGACGACCCTCTGAGTAGCCTCCGTCTACATTAGGGAGCTGGGAATCAATTCCTCACTTGACAGACGCGTATCAGCTGCTGCAACACACGCACACACCCATGCACACTCTTACATCCCCGCTGCTTTTGTAGGGGCCACACTGGGAGCAGGGACTGGACATGACCTCTGGGTAAACAGAGAAGATGCCTACTCTGAGAATCCAGGCACGGTGACTAAGCCTGGGCTCCAAACAGCTCATGGGCTGTGAGACACAACTTTGGCTCACCAGTAGCAGGAGTAAGCGCACCCAAAGGTGTTGGCAACAGCTTAGGGGCTCATCTGCAGCTTTGTTTTTGTGGGATGAAGCACCTGCAGAGGCACATTTGCACCCAGCGCAGCCTGCCTCGCAGACCTGCCCCTCCAGGATCTGTGCCCTTCTTCCCACTGTCAGCTTTTTCAGTGAGTGTAATCCTGGCGCGCTCAGCCTATGGAAAGATCCACCTCAGCTATAAAGTATTCCCTTCAGGAACCATAAAAAATTAATTATTCAGCAGCATGAGCCTTAAAGAATTTATTTTTGTTTGGCAGAAAATATCAACAAGCAAATGACAGTGCAGAGCTGTGCCTTGCCAAGACGAGGGGAAGGTTCACATTAGGGTTTAATGTCATGGCACCGAAACAAAAGCCCTCTTGACTCAAAGTCTGTTCAGTATCAGCCAGACTGAAACCAAATTCGGCTTTTGTTCTGCAAACCGCTTAACCATACGCTACGCTCCCTACGTGAAACAAGGCTTGCCATGCAAGATGCAGCCCTTCCTGCCAAAGCCAACAGGAGATGCTGAGGAGGATCCAAATGAAGTTTTCGATACCATGCGTAGTACATCTGCTTCTAATGTTCCTGCACGCCGTTTGTCTGATCACATAACACAGTTCACCTACGTCCAAGCTCTGCATATGCATCTCTCCCTGAAACGTCCAGGGCCACTCATGGGCACGGGACTGAAACCTTTATGTCCTGAGCTGAGGGGCTGGTTGTCCTCACTACGCTATGGTTCTCAACGCATAACGCTGCTCCGTGAAACGATGCACACAGGCCAGCCACAACAGTAGGAACACAACCCCTACAAGAAGGAATTACATTAATTGCGTTGCTGCCCTCAACTGTCCCAGAAGACACCCACGCTGGGGTCCATCTGCTCAAGCAAAGCTGAGCCACGACAAGACAGCGAGTACGTGGTGACAACCTACTCCTCCCTGTCCTCCAGCACCGAGAGAGAGGAAGGGAGCACTGCGCAGCCAGACCGATGCCGTCAGCCAGCGCCTGCTGTATCAGCACCCACCGCTTCCACGTGCAGCATCATGCGCATCAGGAGCGTTTCGGCACACGGCAGCAGCGACGCAAACCGCGCGGGAGCCCACGGGAACGCTCCTAAGGCCGGTGCACGCGCATGTGCACGGAACCCCGTTCATCTTGGCTGCTCGGGATGGGTTTCCATCTCTTATTCTTCGGTTGTGCTCTTGGTGCTTTGAGGCTTTATGGATCATTAAATAAAGTTGCTGATTTTTTCAAATACTTAAGTGCCTACCTGGCCTTCTTGAAAATTTCTTTTTTCCTCATGTCGGCACTTTTCTACCTGCACATATGTTTGCTGTGTGGATGAATGATTTAGTATACTGAACCATGTAAAACCAGCTTTGTTTGGGCTTTTTTTCTTCCTCGTATTATATAAGCCAAGCAGACCGTAATCTGATGTTCCCATGCACTTTACTTCACATAGTCCTCAGAAAGACTACTTAAAAACGAGGTTGACGAAAGCAAGTGTGAAGGTGCAAAGGAGCAGGGGTTTTTTTATTGTTTATCGCTACACTCAGGTAAAGTCAACTCCACGAATGACAAGATGCTGCTCTGCTGTGATGGAAAAGCTGGAGGCAGCAGGAGGGCTGAATAAGCGTGAATTCGGCACCGGTCCCTTCGGGCTTGCACTGCAAATGCCACTGCTGTGGCTACGGCAGCATGTAAACATGAGGCCTCAGCTCCAGTTAGACTCTCTCAGCTCCAAATATATTCTGCTCCACTAAAATTATAATGGAGTAAGTTAAAAATACATAGGTGACAGCTGAAAAAGTGTTCCTCCTATACTAAGGAATCGAGCAGAAAATTTGCATTTACATTGAGAGAATGGAGAAATTCTGCACAAACAGGCAGTGGGGAGAGAAGCGTAATTCTCACTTCTCATTAATATAATCACCACTCTAAATTTATTCTGAGGGATTTCAAAAACGAACAAAAAAATCAGATTTAAAGAGAAAAAACAAACAAGGGCCTTTGTTGAACAAGTCTCTGACATGTCTCTGAAAGGAAGCGCTGTTGTGCAGACAACTGGCCTTTCTAACGGAGAATGCTGACAATGGGACTTTCTTTAGAAAAGTCCTTTGTAAGAAAGCGCTCTATTAAAACAAAAGTAATGTAAAAATAGCTTAATTAAAAATTAAATAAAGCGCGGGAGCAGCCTGCTTCCTCCAGTTAGCTCAGCTCCCAGTGCTTAATGCTGTGTTTTGGAAAATGTCTGCAGGACACAGGAGCATCGTCAGTGAGTGCGGGTCTGTCACCCAGTCACCTTAACCACACCAACACACCCGTTTGGAGAACAAACCATGGACACTGCCTGGTCTGAAGAGGATTAGAAAACTCCGTAAACGCGAGGGTTTGTTCTGCTGCCCCGAGGTTCAGCTGTGAATATCTTGCAAATGATTTTATCACCCGGCCCCTTTCTTTCCACTAAAACACTACAACTTCCTTTGCTGGCACACAGCAAGTGAAACCCGATCCCTGAAGAATGAGCTATTACTGCAGTACTAATAATACTCTCCCTGCCTCCCACTAAGATTTGCAATGTTTTAATGAACAACAGAACAATATTTGAAAAATAATTCCATATGTACGTTCTGTAAACAGACCTCAGGCTCTTACACAGATTTGACCTGAAGTGCACCGTACTGTACCGTCTTCTGCAAAAATGAAATTTGAGTACAAAGAAGTACATTTATACGCAGGCTCTGAAAGCAAGTGCAGCAGAGCTACTTCCCTGCCCACCCAGCACGGAGGAGGTGCATGTCTTCTCCTCTGCTGCAGTTCGCCAGTTTTTACTGGGAGGCGATCAGCGCGTGCTGCTGGGCTTCAGCCTCTGTGCATGGGACCCTCCTCTCTGGTCCCCAAACACAACTAAAGGTCCCTCTCACTGGCCCCCACCACGCTCCCATCACTTGCTGCACCGCGGCGCAGCTTCAGAGAGGACCCCGGCAAAGGGCTGGTGCCCAGGGCACTCGGCAAAGCCCTTCAGCTTGATGAGACCGTTAGAGCTGGGGCACCATCTTCCTCTGTGGGGACTCCAGGCTCCGTTACGGAGAGCACAGAGACACAGCCCTGCTGGTGCTCAAAGCACCTGGAGAGGTAAATCCCTGCGCTTACCATTTTACTGGCCAGAACCGGGTTGCTCCCAACTCAACAGCTCAACGTTACGGATGCCCCTTCTGAAATTGCGAGCTGGTCCCAGGCACTAGGCACCTACCACAACCCTTCAGAGTCACTCTGGACTGAGGCACCCATAGCCTGGGAGTTTTGGGACTAAACTTTTAGTTTCCCACATCATTCATCACATCTCACACCGACGCATGTAAAACAAAACACCTCACACTGGGGTGAGATCGGGCGGCAGAAATAACCCAACAAGACAGTGAATCTTATACTTGAGAAGTTCAAATAAAGCTTCAAGTAGCCAAGATGGCTCCAAGGTCCTACTAAATCTTTCGAAGTCATCATTATTACAATCCCAGCTGTAAAAGATCAGCAAATTAATTCAACATTTATCAGCACATCAGGCATGTTAGATGCACAACATGCTAATCCGGTACCTCGCACTGAGAAGTGACTCGTGGGAGAATCTGCGTGGTGCACTCGCGCCGCATCTAACTCAGGGTCACAGCTTAATCCTGCTGAAGAGCCTCTGACCCCATTGGTAGCTCTACTGACCTTATGGGAATCACTGGAGGAACACACTACCATTTAACATAAGAGAAGGCAGCAGGACCCAGCCCTTAATCACTTACATTTTCTTATTTTACTTGGCACTTGTCCTTAAATACATCAACAAATTCTCTCAGATGTTCCCTTAAAAAGAATTTAATTTTTTTTTCTCCCTGTTAGCACAATTAAAGACTACTGGTTCACCTTAATGGAGAGATTTTTACTTGTCTGCATTCCCTGAGGAGTTATACTTACATCATGCATGGAGTCAAGAAGTTTAGTCAGTTGGTAGAATCTCTGCCAGCTTTGCCCAGAGTTACTTGGACATTTAGTTACCATCTTCTTTAGTTCTTTAATGTAATTTGCCCTCATTTCTTCAAATGCAGCTTGGCTTTTGAGACCATCCTTGGGAACTGTCATTGAAAAGACAGTCTTATATTAATATTAACTGTGTTGCGCATTCTTTTGATGTGCATACTTAGTAAGTTACACCAGTTAATGGAAGAAAGAACTGAACCTTTAAGCAAAGTCCATAAATTTCACAGACATTGGTAAGGAATCAACAACATCATGCAGATTTTTCAAGTGATTCAACGCATCCTCTCCAGATCTGTGACTGCAGAAGCTGTGGCAGAGGAGAAGATAACATCTCAGAAATGTGACACATGCTAACCTCATGCTGAAACTGTTTTTAATACAACTCAACCACACAAAAAAAGAAAAAAAAAAAGCAGATGGATCAAAGATTTTTTTTTTTAGAAGTTAAAGATGTGATTTATCATTCTTGAATGATTCTCCACACTTGGCAGAGGAGAGGAAGGTACAGAATTACAGCTGTTATGTGCAGAAATGCTAGACCAAGTGACACGTTTTTATGCCATCAAGTAACATCTAAAATTTCTGTGAATGTTAGTAAGCATCTGCGTAACACCTAGAACAAGCAGAGCCATTATTCCGCATGAAAGAAAAGACTATTTTCAAACAGGCATCCTGACCCAGCGTTTGACCACGACATACAGCTGCAAGTGTTTCTGGTGTCCTACCAGAGTTCCCATCTGCCAGAGGGATCGTTTCACAAACAGGCTAAAAGTAGAGTTTTCTGATACCTTTGACTGTGACAGATATCAGCAGGCTAATTACAAAAGCAAATACACTGTTTCTTTATGGA